TAAAATACTGCCTCATTTAATTCACGATAATTAGATACCATTCCATATTTAGGTGTCCTTTAATTTCTCTCAGTGATGTGTTGTAGTTTTCTGAGTAGGGTTTTGTGCATCTTTCATTAGATTTATTCTTAGATATCTAATGTTTTTAGGATTCTAATTTAAATGGTTTCAAAAATTCATTTCTAATCATTGCCAGGAGATAAAAATGTAATCGATTTTTTTATTCACCAACTTTGTCGATTTGTTTATTAATTCTAATATTTTATCTGAAGATTATTTTTCCTAATTTACTTTTAAATTTATATACATGAAGATTCTTATAGATAATCTACATACATAATTTTACTTCTTCTTTTCCAATCCTTTACTTATTTCTTTTTCTTGTCTAATTGCACTGGCTAAACTTGCACATGATGCAAAGAAGTCATAGTATCAGACATTTTCCTTAGTTTCCAAACTTGGGGTGGAGAAAGGCTTTCAATGTGGGGCCATTAAATATGATATTTGCTGTAGGTTTATGATGATGATGATGATGATGATGATGATATTTTAGACCAGATTAAGGAATTTCACTGCTTTTTAGCATTTGAAAAGAATTTTTATCTAAATAGATGAATTTTTTTCAAATGACTTTTTTGCATCTATTGAGATGATTTCATAATTTTTCTCCTTCGTTCTGTTAATGTGGCAAAATATATAGAATTTTAAATGTAACACCAAACTTGCATTCTTGGAATAAATTAATTTTGGTTATATTATATATTTCATCATTGGATTTTATTTATTAATATTTTGCTTAAGAATATTGTGTCTATGTTCATCAGAAAGATTGGCCTGCAATTTTCAATTTTTGAAATGCCCTTGTCAATTTCTAGTATGCAGACCACATGAGACAAGTTGAGGAATTTTTACTCATTTTATACACTATGGAAGAGTTTGTAGAAGATTAACACTCTTTCTTTTCTTTAATTATATGTAATATTTTATTAAAAAGTGCTATTTTAATTTTAAAAACTAAAAATACCTATTTATCAAAAGATGCAATTAAGTGAATGAAAATGCAAGCCGCAGAATGGATATAACACGTGTAACATAAATAATATATAACACAAATAAAGCCTAGACTCTGATCCAAAATATATAAAGAATTCCTACAAATGAATCAGAAAAAAATATACAACTATTTAAGAAAATAGGCAAAAAAGCTTTAACAGAGACTTCACAAAAGAGAATATTGACAAGGCCAAGAGGCAGAGGAAAAGATGCTTGGCACACAGTTTGAAAAAAAAGAAGTAAAACTTTATTTCTTTAGAGAGGAATATAATCCTATATATTAAAAAATATAAGGAATCTACCAAAAAAAACTACTAGAAGTAAAAAACTAGGTCACATACAAAATCAGTATATAAAAACAATCCTATTTCTATATCCTAACAATGAGATATGAAAATAAAATAGGATTCAAAAGAATAAAATACTTAGGAATAAATTTAATAAAAGTGAAAAACCTATATACTGAAAACTACAAAATGTTGCCAATCAAAGTTAAAGAAGAACTAAGTAAATAGAAAGACATACCAAGTTCATGTGTTGGAAGACTGAATATTGTTAAGATGGCAATTCTACCAAATTGATCTATAGGTTCAATGCAATTCCTATCAAAATCCCAGGAGGTTTTTTTTTTTTGGTAGAAATTGACAAGTTGACCCTAATAAGTATATGGAAAGGCAAAGGACCTAGAAGAGTCAAAACAATTGTGAAAAAGAAGAATAAATCAAAGAGCTAACACTACCTGATTTCAAAACTTGCTTTAAAGGTACAGTAATCAAGACAGTGTAGTATTGACACAGGAATAAATATAAAGGATCAAAAGAACAGAAAAAAGTCAAGAAACAAACCCTATATTCGTGGTGATGTCAAGGCAATTCAAAGTGGAAAGGATAGTCTTTCAACAAGTGGTTCTGAGACTATTGGATATCCATACACAAACAATGACCATAGACCCATAATTCACACTATACACGGAACTTAACTCAAGATGCAGCATGTGCCTAAATGTGAGAGATACAAATATGTGACTAAAAAAAAAAGCATAAGAGAAACTCTTTGTGACCGTAGATTAGGCAAAAATTTCTTAGCTATGACACCAAAAGCACAGCCACAAAAGAAAAACAAAAAGGATGCATTGGATTTTATCAAAATTAAAATATTTTGCTCTTCAAAATGTACCCTTAAGTAAATAAAAATAAAAGCCACAGAATAGGAGAACAGCCAGAATACTGGCAAATTATATATCTAATAAATGACTCTGTCCAGAATATACAGAGAATTCTTACAACTTAATAATAAAAAAATGATTAAATTTCTTAAATGGGCAAAAGTTAAAGTAGAAATTTCATTAAAGAAAATACACAAATGGCTAATAAGCACAGAAAAAGATGTTCAATATCATTAATCATTGGAGAAATGTAGATTAAACCACAATAAGATACTGCACCTTTACTAGTATGGCTATCATCAGAGAATGACAATACCAAACGTTGGCAGAGATGTCGAGAAACTACAACCTTCATCCATTGTTGGCAGGAATGTAAAATCATACAGCCACTGTTGTAAACAGGTTGGAAGTTTCTTAAAACATTAAAGATATACTTAACATATGACCCAGTAATTCTATTCCTAGGAATCTTACCCAAGATAAATGAAAACATAGTCCACAAAGACCTGTACAGGGGTGTTCTTGCAGCACTACTCAAAATAGCCAACAAGTGGAAACCCAAATATGCATCAACTGATGAGTGGATAAACTAAATCCACATGATGAAATATTATTGATCCATCAAAAGAAACAAACTAACGATTTCATGCTACACGTGAATGAATCTCAAAAACACTATTCTAAGTGAGAAAAGCCAGAAACAAGAGACTATATATTGTACAATTGCATTTTATAAAATTTCCCAAGAAGGCAAATCTATAGAGATAGAACACAGATTAGTGGTTGTCTTGGGTCGGGAGTGGGAGTACGAATAGGCATTAACTGGAAGCAAGCAGAGGAAACTTTTTAGGATGATGGATATGTTCTGAAATTGGATTATGGTGATGGATGCACAACTCTCGAAGTTAGCTACTAACCATTGTGTACACTTACAATGGTTAAAGTTTATTGTCTATAAATTTTACCTCAAGGAAACTGTAGAAAAAAGCAGCCCCACCAATGTGATACCAAATCACATCCATCAGTTCAAAATAGGGAAAATTAATTCCAGGTGAGAGAATCAGAATAGCCTTTTCCTGAAGAAGGTAGTGCTGACTGGGAGCGACAGAAGGAAAGTTTCTGGGATGCTTGTAATGTTCCAGTTCTTGATCTGGATGGTAACTGTGAGTATATTCACCTTAAAAAATATTCAAATGGCTCACTTAAACATGTGTGGACTGCCCTCTAAGTATAATTTAATAAATATTTCACAAAATAAACAAACAAACGGGAAACCATGACTCATTTTAGAAGAGGGCATCCTGTTGCGGTCTATTCCCGGAACTTCCTCAAACTATTAGCTGTGCTTTTATTTGGGGATCATTATTAAAAAATGTGATGACAATCACAGGTTAAAAACAAACAAACAAAACAAAATAAAACAAATCTGGCCAGTTCGTTCTCCAAACCTTAGTGGGCTTTTTCATGTACCAGAGAGAGATAATCAATTCCAAACAGATTTGGCTTCTAAGTGAAATGTAGGCTTCTCCTACATTATGAAGACATATATTTTGTGTCTGTTAAGGGTACCCATTCAGAATCTTCCCCTCTTGGAATACTATTAAACTAATACTGGCATGCTTTCCACAATGATATTTTAGAAACTCCAATTCTAGGTATACTTTAAAATGCTCTTGTCCTTCAAAACACCATGGAGTGAACTCAGGGTGAGTGGCTGCAGAATCCATTGGGGATAATGAAAATAACACCAGACTATGATTTGCAATGATGGGTCCCTGTTAGGAGCTGTCGGTGGGACTGGACATGTTACACAATCCCCATGTTGCTTCATTTTCCACAAAGCTGGAAGTTACCAATCTAACTTTCCCTAAGTCGTCAGAGTGTAGAGAAGGTCAAATGAGATGAAGTCTTTCAAGATGCTTTCCCATGCATTCAATGTCATCCAAGGCCACTTCCTGGTATGATTAACAGCAGCAAATACACAAGTTGGAAAATTTAACTTGCTTTCACTTGTGCAGCTTTTAAAATTGAGGTTATAATGAGTTCCTTGAAAACTGCCTTATCTGCAAATATTATGTTTCTCCATTTGGTCTAGAAATGGGTTCTCTAATGATCTGCATACCAGGCTTGAATTTGATATGATCCTAGTGACATTCTAATTCTGCAGAAAGAGATTAGATATAAATGTGGAAGTCCTCAACATTATTTTCACCCCCGTGTACCTAAGATGGACAACACACACCATGGCCATTGATGATGCTCCATAGTCTGAGAGAGCCACCGGGGGCAGGGGATGATGAGAGCACCTCTTCCTATAGAACTTGTCTAGATGCTTTGAGGATTAAGGAGTTCATGGTTTGAGGCCCAGCTCCCTCTTATGGAAGATTCTGACATGCCCTTCTAGGGAGTATACTCCTTACTGAGAACAACAATAATGATAATGATGATGGCAGCTAACATTTCTCAAATACTACAAGCCAGGCATTGTGTTAAGTGCTCTACTTGCATTTACCCCTAATTAGTCTTCTATACAGAAACTGAAGAAAATTTTTTATAAGGTAAATTAGATCATGTCACTCCAGTGCTTAAAGCCCTCTCATGGATTGCCCTTACATAGGGAGTAAAATTCTCCTATACTTCACCCTGTCTACAAGGACTTTGTGTTGTCTGTCCCTGCCTATCTCTCTCACCTAGCATGTGCCATTCTTCCTGTGCCACTCTTCACTCATTTGCTCCAGCCACGCTGGCTCAAAGCTTTTCCCTTTGCTGTTTCTTTTTCCAGGAATGTCCTCCCTCCTAATTACCATGGAGTGGGTTCCTTCTGCTCCCAGCTCAATGTCATCTCTACAGAAAGCCCTTTGCTAACCATCCCCTGAAACAGACTCAAAAGGATTAAGTCACCCACCTGTGGACACACGGGGTGAAGAAACAATTTGAATGTAAGTCCTTCTAAAACAGGGGTCAAGAGAAGAGCTCATTGAAAGAATGAAAGTAGGGGTTTATCTTTATCTTAAGAAAACAATTTTAATTGAAAATCCTCAGATTCAAGTTGAAGCAAAAATTCTTCTCACTCTGGGTTGGGTTTCTTTTTCTATTTAGTCCAGAAAGAAGTAAAATTAATATAATTAAGTAAGGTCACATTTCAGAGTGACAGAAAGGGAGAAAGTTATGAAACAGATTAAAGTGAAGGAAATTTTAGATCTCGTACCAGCCTTTAGGAGAGCTTGATTATTTCTCCTCATTAAAGTAATTGTTGGTCTAATGCCGGATCTTTCCATCAAACAGGTCCAATGAGACAGTGGAAACTGAATAAACATACTGCCTAATAACAAGTGATGGAGGCAAAAGGTGAAATTTCCACTTAGAAATAACTGTTCCTTGTTGAAATTTCCCAGGGGCAAAAGGTCACCCAGCTGAGATAATTGCTAATTAAGGTTGGACGACAGTTCAGGCAAGAAGCCAGACCAGTATCCCCATGTTACAATAGGTCAGCCATCGATTAGACTCCTGGCTCTTGATTAAATGTCACCAAATGATTAACTGATTAATCCTTAGGCCTTTCTGGAAGAGACTCTAGTTTGGCATACTATGCTCTAGCCCAGTAATTCTACTATTCTTCTCTTTGGCATAGAATCCCTTTGGAAGAAGTTTCATGACTAACTCTATTTTACTTTCTTCCTAGCGGCCTTGTTCAGCTTCTGTTTCACTTGGTAATGACTAACGAGTATGCTCCATTCGTCGCTAAAGGCTTGGCTTGGTTAATTTAATATCTCCCTCTGTATCCTTACCTATCTATAGAAATAGTTAAGTAAGAATGCCTTGGATCAAGAAAGCATAATGAAAATTCTAAGTACTTACCTGTAGACTAATTTGGGAGGCACTGAAGTCAAACTGCATGGGTTCACATCCCAGCTCCATTACCTACCACCTGTGTCACCTTTGTAAAGTTACTTAATCTCTCTAACTTTAAGATCCCTATCTACAAAAGGGAGAAAACAATTCTATTTATCTCAAAGGGTTGTTGAAGATTAAATGAAATAACTAAGTAAAAAGCAGTTGAATATATACTGAATCCTTAATAAATGTTTCTAGAATGAGCCTAATAAAAAACTAGTAGGAATATTATACTACAAACATCAGGCTCTTGCCACATCTGGCTTCTCCCAGGTGAGTGACTAGTAATATCCCCTTCTCCTCCTAGGTAGAGTTCAGAAGAAGCAGGAGCAGATCCTGCTAGCAGGGAATAGATTAAATTTGATAATAAATCCCATTACGGTCTTGGAAAATGTGACTATCAGTGATGGAAGAATAATAGCAACTACAAATTATTGAGCTTTTTCCATGTGTCAGGAATTGTTCTGTGTACTTTATATATGTGAAATCTTTTAATCCCCCTAAAACCCAATGGAGTCAGTACTAAGAGTGGCAGAGACAACAGGCAAACTCAGGCCACTGCCATGTGACTCTCGAGTGAGGTAATGTGAAGACTTCCCTTGCAGGCTCTAAATTCCCATCTAATCCATCCCCAAACATGCACTCTGAATGCCATCTCCTCTCACCTTTTCAAGGACATCACTGCAGCAATTTTATGCATTCTCTAATACAGCATCAACTTTTTCCCTTCTCTGTTGGTTCACTCCCATCAGATCATAAATACGACATTATTTTTTCCATCTTAAAAAGCAAAACAACAGCAGCAAAACAATTCCCTTTACCCTACCTTCCTCTCCAGCCACCTCCCAATTTCTCTGCTTCTCTTCGCAGCGTAACTCCTGGAAGGATTTCTATGATACTCACTCTTTCCAAAGCCTCTTCTTTCAATTTTCTCTTGAACCCACTCCAATCGGAATTTCACCCACCCTTCTAACACAACTTTTCTCTTTAAGATCACCATTGCTCTGTACATGTTGCTAAATCAAGTGTTTCATTCTCCTTCCTCATCTTACTTGGCCTATCAGCAGCACTGGATATAAAATCAGACCTTCCTTGGTACACTTTCTTTTGCTCCGCTTCCACGATACCACTATGTCCTAGTTTTGCTTCTACCTAATCTCTTCTGCTATTTCCTCCTCTTCTCTCCAAACTCTAATGTTGGAGTAAGCCATGCCCCAATCCTTAGTCCTCTTTTCTTCTATCTGTACTCATTTCCCTGATCTCATCTATTTTAGCATGTAAATATCACCGATATCTTGATGACCACCAAATTTATATTCGCTGTCCAGAACCCTCTCCCAAATGCAACCTGGTTTAAATAATTGCAGCTCTTAAAATGTCAGCATGCCACCTCTGGCATTCCTTTTTTCTTTCAGAATGCTTACAATCTTTTCTTGTGTACCCCACATTTATGCCCTCAAGAAAAGGCTGATTTCTTACGTAACTCATCACATTCTGCTAGAAATTCCCATATGCCAATTCTCCACGGTTTTCAAGCTTATGTAAAGACCATTCACGAAGCAAGAGGTTAAAGAAATCCTAGTCTAGTGAAGAGGAGGAGAGAACCTGTGATTTCAGTTAGGACAAATGGGTTTGATCATTGTACTATGAAAATGCAAACATCTGTTCCCTCAGTTTCACACCATAGGTGACTTTTATTTTTTTACCCCCTTTATATTAATGTATGTATTGTGTCTATTATGGATGGTGAAGGATTGAAAGAATAGTTCAGAGAAACCAATCCTTACTATTCACAGCAAATGCCCTATTAGCATTAGAACATTTCTATCATCCTTGCATCATAATAATGTCATATCATTTTAATGACTATCACTCGTTTAATAGTCATTAAAGTTTCTCTCCTTTAGAAGAAGAGAATGATAACCTCCATCTGAAACTATGATTTGTGAAATTGAAATAGCCTCCATTTGTTCAGGTATGAAATGGGAAAATAGATTTCCACTATCAAAGAGGGAGGTAAACACTGTGTTGAAAAGATTTGGTATTACTTATCAAAGTGAAGCATTGTAAACATATAAAAAGTGTAATTTATAATTATAATATATATGAAATCTCATTTTTCACAAGGAACCATGAAATAGTCCAGCATGTAGTATGAAGCAGAACAATATTTGTAGAATTTTGACTACATGTAGACAATTAAGCTGCCTAATTTCAAAGCAAAGCTAAAACACAGGCTCTTAAATCTCAATTTACATCAAGAATATTCATTTCCAGAAGGCAATCTCTTTACTTAGCATCGTGTATATGTAGATGAACTAGAATCTTCTACAATTACAGAGATGGTTCTATTTCCTTCTGATAACTTAAAAATCTCCCCTTAAAGTTTTAAGAAACAGAAAATAAGAAGAACTATGTTGCCTAAAAAGGCTAAAGATAAATTTCTCTTGGTTCCTACAGCATGTTCCCATCTCTCTTTCTCCTGGAAGTCCATGTTCCTTGAAAATTGAGGTCAATGAATGAATGTCAAGACAACTGCTATAGTTATTTTAACCTCTGCAGGATGAGGAAGCCTTGAAGTATTAGACTAAGGTTATTTTGCAGACGTCGGTAACCAATTTCCTTTTAGGCATGAAATCAGAGCAAATAAAGCCAAATTCTAGACACAAAACACTTCTGGGATGTGTAGATTATCAAAAAATAAAAAATGATTTAGTTGAGGGGTTATGGATTCAGCTTCTGTGGGAGTAACTATCTACCATTAGTAATGTATAATTTGGACCATTTCTTGAGTGCTTACTATGGGCCTGGTATTGCACTGGGAACTTATATAACTCTTTAAGTCCTCTCAAGAATCATTTTTGTTAGTTGGTAGGCCTTAGCTTTATGCCTACTTTACATAAGGGCTAAGGGAGTTTAAGTACCTTGTCCAACGTAACAAGATCCAAACTCTTTTCACAAATTAACAGAAAGAAACATTTAAATCTTAAATATAAGATTTAAACAAGTATACACCTAGGAAATACGAAGATGTGACCTGGCAGAAGCTTCTGTGGAATGAAGGTTGAAACAATTTGACATGCAATTGAGATTTTGAGACCTCTGAGATGCTGAATTCTGATTCAAAAAATGTGATTGTTCTAGGTGCCGTCCTTTAAGGAGGACACTACACTTCCAAGCCAGTGTTTTAAGAGGAAAATTGCCAAGAGGGAAAGAGATCTTAAAACCAGCTCCCACAGAGAATAGTTGAACAACCTCAGGTTATTTAACTTGGAAGAAAAGATTCCAAGGTCTGTGATACCCTCTTTGAATCAAATGAGGAGACTGCCTTAGGGAAAGGCTCATCTTGTACCTTGTGACAGCAAGAATTGAATTTATGAAGTTGCAAGGAGTCAGAAATGTCTTTTTTATATTGAATTTAAATAGAACAGTTCAAGCTGTCCAAGTCCAGATGAGAATAAACAGCCTTAAAAGGTAACAGTTTCCTCCTGTCAGAGGCGTGTAAGCAGAAACAGAAAGAGGGTTAGTCTAAGGAAAATTTGAGCATTGGGTTTGGATTAGACTAGATTACTCTGAAAGCTCTCCTAACTGAGAATATTCAGGATCTTGACACAGCTTCTTTTGATTCTGGGATTTTAAGATAAATTTGTGTTGATACAGCCGTTACGAATTATCTAGCCTTCTAGGATTCTAATTGAAAGGTGGAAAATTAGTCATCAGTTGAATAGCCCAGGGGGTATAAATGTTGCCTTCATTTTAAGGTCAACAGCTTCGTTGTCTTTCTTGTTCCCTATTCATCTCAGAATGCTAAGGACACTGCGACAGGTTCTAAATCATTTCTCAAATTAAATTTAGTAAGCTTTTCCTTCCCAAATAAAACTATACTGTATATAATTTATATATATACATATGTATGTATTATATATAAGAAGGATCACAACCAACTTGTACAAGATTATTTTATGACTAGGTTTGAAGTAAGTTGTCTACAGGTTTAGCACTCAACGTCTGCTAACCAATGCCACGTCTTTTACAAATGAAAACTTTTCTAACATTTGAGACTTAAATAGTCGTGTTTCCCATCATATAGGTCATGAAACTAAGACTTAGGGAAGTAAAATATCTTGCCAAATTTCTCATAGTCAGTTAAGTGACGCAGTTATGTGCCCATCTCAGATCTGAGTGACTTAGATTTTCTAATTAAGAATAGAAGTAAAGGGTCAACCAAGTTGGGAACCCACTAGGCCTGCCAGGTGAAAACTACCACACTACAGTAGGAGGTGTGCAACTCCATTTGAGTTAACTTGGCAGAAACTCAGGAACCAGAAAAAAAATAACAAAAAAAATACTGCCTGATGCCTTGAAAAATAACCATCTCAGAAGGAATGGTCAGATGGCCTTGTTGCCTTAGAGTTTAGCTTGAAGGAAAGCATCGGTGTGATGGAAACTCCCTT